ACGTCCAACAAAAAACGGTCCTTAAGGTCCTTGAAGCAGCTCTAATGGTATAGCAGAGATGACTCGATATTGAAGCACCACTGCAATACCCCCCTCACTGCCGGTGGCAACTGGAAAACATGGGGTGATCGCTCCCCCCAGAGTGATCACTTCTGGTTTGCTCCATGTGGAGCCCGGCAGTGAGGCTTCCGATGCTCCGCCTGTACTGAGTGCCTCACGGGGTTGAATAATAAATAAATAAATAAATAAATAAAAATTCAACCCCTACCCTCCCTCCCTCTCCCTCCCCATGTACTTACCGATCACAGGGGCGGGCTTCAATAGCATCCACTTTCTTTCAATTCCGTGTTATTATGGTAACCGGAAGCATTCCTGACCTCTTGGTCGCGGTATGATGACGTGACCATGCTCATGCCAGTCACACACGCGCGATCACCAGTACACAGCACAGCGTTCACTCAGTGATCTGAGGCTCACACCTGCACTGGGTAAGTGATTGTTTCATAACAATCCATTCCCTATATATACACTTTATTTACTTGTATTCACATCTTGACAAAGACCTCATGGGTCAAAACGTTTATCACTTTGGACCTATATAAAATATATTGAACAAATCCTCTGGAGTGCTCTCTTCATCGTCTTGCATATATATATATATATATATATATATATATATATACACACAAATACATATCTATGTATATCCCCTTAACGACCGTGGACGTACTACGACAAAAACGGTCGTTAAGGACCACAGATGTACATAGTACGACCGCGGCAAATAGGAACCCTGAACTTAACTGGACCGGCAATCCACGTCAATCACAGTCGAGGGGGACTGCCAGAGACCCTAGCAGTCCCCCTGCAGCAGCTCCAGCCACCCTGGCCCTGAATAGAGCCACAAACCGAGGACTGTCAAGCATACTGCCGAAAAGTGACATAAAGCACAGCCTCCAAGTGTTGCCTAGAAACGGCAAAGTTGTTTTAAAAGAGAAAAAATCAGAGTAAAATTAAAAGCATGTATGGAGGAGAAAGAAATAGAGTCTGATTACATGGTCTTAAATGTATATGAGTGTGGAATGTTAAAGACAGCAGTATGAATGAAAACGGGTTAGCCAAAGGTTTTTTTTTTTTTTTGTTTCTCTTTATTCAGCACGCATACACACATTAACCTGTTCTGGTTAACCTTTGGCTAACCCGTTTTTATTCATACTGCTGTCTTTAACATTCCACACTCATATACATTTAAGACCATATAATCAGACTCTATTTCTTTCTCCTCCATACATGCTTTTAATTTTACTCCGATTTTTTCTCTTTTAAAACAACTTTGCCGTTTCTAGGCAACACTTGGAGGCTGTGCTTTATGTCACTTTTCGGCAGTATGCTTGACAGTCCTCGGTTTGCGGCTCTATTCACAGAGCAGACCGGACAAACAGGGTGCACTTGGTGATTGGGTAAGTTTAACACATTAGATTGTATATATTTGAGATTTTCACATGTTATAGCATCTTGATAAAGACCGCTAGACTGTCAAAACGTTGATTTATATGCGTTTGATTTAATATATTTTTTTGTTTACTAAATCCAATGAGTGCTCTCAATTTGTTCCATTTGTATATTTTGCACGGAGAGGCACCTGGTCATTGATGAATTAATGCTTTTGTTATGGGATGAGTGCCAGAAGCTATTGTGATTTTATATATATATATATATATATATATATATATATATATATAAATTGATGAAAAAAACCATTTATAATAAACAAATAAAAACGCTAACTTTGGCCAGCGTTTGTGACTAAGTGGCTACTACAAAAGACTGGAAATACCCCATTTGGAATACCCTGGGTTGTCAACATTTAAAAATGGTATGCCATAATGGCAAACTTAATTGGGCAAGCCCCATATTGACCCTGTACGTTTTCAAAACACCAGAAAACCTGTACATGGGGGGTATTGTTATACTTGGGAGACTTCGATAAACACAAATGAGTGTTTAAAACAGTAAAACTTATCACCAGTAAGCTTTGTATTACTAACACTAAAATGATCCTTTAGAAACATAGAAACAGAATGTGATGGCAGATAAGAACCATTCAGCCCATCTAGTCTGCCCAATTTTCTAAAATCACCAGTAAAAGTGCAGTTTTTGTGTAAAATAAAAAAACTGCAAAAAACAAATATGAATGCTAACTTAGGCAAGCGTTTGTGGCTAAGTGGATACTACAAAAGACTGGACATATACCCCATTTTGAATACTGTAGGTTGTCTACTTTTACAAATGTTTTGCCATGATGGGGCTATTTTTCATTCCTGTGTTGCTGTATGGTCCCACAGGCAACATAGGCCCAGCAAACCAATCTGGGAAATTTCAATGTGCAAACATGGAAAAGGGGAATGCCTTACATTTGAGCCCTGTAAGTTTGCAAAATTGGGGGCACTGTTGTACTCAGGAGATGTTGCTGAACATATATTGGGGTGTTCTTTGGCAGTAATACATAACAGGAACTGAGAATCAATGCCTAAAGTACAAAGTGTGTGAAAAATAACACAAAACAATGACTACCCAAAAGGTTGCCAAAGACTGGTGGTATATTTAGTGCATGGAAAGTGTTACAATACCACTATTTGAAATACTCTAGGGTGTCTACTTTTCAAAAATATATGGTTGAATGGGGGTAAATTACACTGACCAGCTTAAAAAATGTCCAAATAGGACATGGGTGCATGATGACCAGCTGAAAAAATTCCAAGAAGAAAACTGTAATGGGCACCCTCCAAATAAGGTATTTTAGCTCCCAGGGAACCCGACACACCTATACACTTATACATGGGTGGTATCACTGTACTCAGGAGATATTGCTGAACACATATTGGGATGTTCTTTGGCAGTAATCCTTAAAGTTCTCTGTACATGTATTCTTAAATTGCCATGTGAAAAAAAAATCACCATTTATTAATTTTTTTATGTTTTTTTTTTTTAAATTTGGCGATTAGATAGATTGGTGGTAAAATGGTTGCATGAAAAGAGTCAAAATACCCAAAGTTTAATACCTTAGGCTGTCTTGTTTTAAAAAATATATACATGTGAAGAGTTATTCAGGAATTCCTGACAGATATCAGTGTTACAATGTAATTTTGAAAAAAAAAAAAAAATGGTTTGGAAATAGCAAAGTGCTACTTGTACTTATAACCCAATACCTTTCCAAAAAAAGCTAAGAACATGTTAACATTGGGCATTTCTCAGGAAAACATTTAGAAACTATTTAGCACTGGTGTTTTTTTTGCGGTTGTAGATGTGTAACAGACTTTGAGTGTCAAAGTTAGAAAAAGTGTGGTTTATTTTACATTTTTTCATCGTATTTTATAATTTATTTTTAGTAAATGATATGATGAAAATAATGGTATCTTTAGAAAGACCATTTAATGGTGAGCAAAACAGTATATAATATGTGTGGGTATATTAAATGAGTAAGAGGACAATTACAGCTAAACACAAACACAGCGGAAATTTAAAAAGAGCCCTGATCCTTAACGGTAAGAAAATTGAAAAAAGAGGTTAAAGGTAACCTGAGGGACATTTATCAAAAGACTAATTTTGTGATAATACTGCAGCAGCAGAAATGAACTTTATGAAACTCAGAGTAAAAGGACGCTGAATGTGTATGTGCTGCATGAAAATATGTCAATAGCTGGTAATAAGATTGGCTGCGTTAAGGTCAGCTATTATGATAAATAATAGGTACCAAACATGTCTCCTGCTGCAAATGTTATGAATATGTATGGTTTTTTTTTTGTTTTTTTTAAGGAATATGTTTGTTTTTTACACAAATTCTTCTACTTGTATATAACCAGCATTTGAGGTCACTATTAAAATAGTTATGTAGTTGCATAGTCCACAAAGTTCAGCCTTTGACTCATCCATATGTATATTTGGTGTATAGTGGTAGCTCACTTTAGTTTTCATTTACTATTGACTGGGCTCTTTTTTAAAAAAAATTTGATATTTCTTCATGTAATTCAATTAATGTTTTTCATTTCTAGTATAGCCCATCTAATTTCCTTTTTGCAGAGTTAATATAATTGTATTTATGTGAACCCACCTGACTTTAAAGACACCCTACAGGCAACCAGACAACCTTACGTCATTGAAGTGGCCTGGGTGCATTGTTTCCTTCACCCTCCATTATAAAACATTTCAGTTTTAGAGAGGGTTAAGACTGCCTCTAGTGGCTCTCTACCAGACAACCACTAAAGGCACTTCCTGCAGTTTCACAGAATTTACCTCCATGAAATGATGTTGGACGTACTCATGCTTTGCATAAGGACATCCAGAATCTTGCAAATCCTCTGTAGGAAAGTATTTGTTCGATATTGCCTACTAGGATGGAAGGTCTAATGCCTGTGCAGTTCTTACCGCGCATGTTCATTAGGTACCCCATTGTGCAGATGTGAGAGGAGGCGGTGAAAGTACATTTTTAAAGGGGAATGATTGCCATGGGGAAAGGCGGCTCTGGGGCAGAGGGACACTTTCATGTTAGGAATACCGCTTTGTATTACTAACACTAAAGTGATCCTTCAGAAACATAGAAACATAGAATGTGACGGCAGATAAGAACCATCTAGTCTGCCCAATTTTCTAAAATGCTTTTTAATAATTAGTCTCTTATATCTAAGATAGCCTTATGTCTATCCCACGCATGCTTAAAGTCCTTCACTGTATTAACCTCTACCACTTCAGCTGGAAGGCTATTCCATGCATCCACTACCCTCTCAGTAAAGTAATACTTCCTGATATTGTTTTTAAACCTTTGCCCCTCTAATTTAAGACTATGTCCTCTTGTTGTGGTAGTTTTTCTTCTTTTAGGAAAGACGAGACAGGGGGGATATGATAGAAACATTTAAATACATAAAGGGAATCAACACAGTAAAGGTCTCCTCCTTTACTGTGTTGATTCCCTTTATGTATTTAAATGTTTCTATCATATCCCCCCTGTCTCGTCTTTCCTCCAAGCTATACATGTTAAGATCCTTTAACCTTTCCTGGTAAGTTTTATCCTGCAATCCATGAACCAGTTTAGTAGCCCTTCTCTAAACTCTCTCTAAAGTATAAATATCCTTCTGAAGATACGGTCTCCAGTACTGCGTACAATACTCCAAGTGAGGTCTCACCAGTGTTCTGTACAATGGCATGAGCACTTCCCTCTTTCTACTGCTAATACCTCTCCCTATACAACCAAGCATTCTGCTAGCATTTCCTGCTGCTCTATTACATTGTCTGCCTACCTTTAAGTCATCAGAAATAATCACCCCTAAATCCCTTTCCTCATATGTTGAGGTTAGGACTCTATCAAATATTCTGTACTCTGCCCTTGGGTTTTTACGTCCAAGATGCATTATCTTGCACTTATCCACATTAAATGTCAGTTGCCACAATTCTGACCATTTTTCTAGTTTACCTAAATCATTTGCCATTTGGCTTATCCCTCCTGGAACATCAACACTGTTACATATCTTAGTATCATCAGCAAAAAGACATACCTTACCATCAAGACCTTCTGCAATATCACTAATAAAAATATTAAAGAGAATGGGTCCAAGTACAGATCCCTGAGGTACCCCACTGGTGACAAGTCCAAGCTTCGAATATATTCCATTAACTACAACCCTCTGTTGCCTGTCACTCAGCCACTGCCTTACCCATTCAACAATATTGGAATCCAAACTTAAAGATTGCAGTTTATTGATAAGCCTTCTATGTGCAACAGTGTCAAAAGCCTTACTGAAATCTAGGTAAGCAATGTCTACTGCACCACCCTGATCTATAATTTTAGTTACCCAATCAAAAAAATCAATAAGATTAGTTTGGCATGATCTCCCTTAGTACACCACTAAGCTCTTTTAATAACTTTGGGTGTATTCCATCAGGTCCCATTGACTTATTTGTCTTTACTTTTGACAGTTGAAATAGAACCTCCTCCTCTGTAAACTCACATGTAATAAATGACGTATTTGTCCTTTTTCCTAACTGAGGTCCCTTTCCTTTTTTTTCCTCTGTTAATACTGAACAACAATATTCATTGAGGCAGTCAGCTTGACCTTTATCCTCATCTACATACCTTCCTTCTTTTGCTTTTAATGTCACTAATTCTTGTTTTACTTTCCTAAACTTTCACCTACAGTAATATCTGATACCAAATCTCCATTTGTTAACACTAAATCTAGTATGGCCTCCTTACGAGTTGGCTCCTCAATGACTTGTTTTAGAGACAATCCCAGTAGGGAGTTTAGAATATGTGTGCTTCTGGCACAAGCAGCTAATTTTGTTTTCCAATTCACATCAGGAAGATTAAAGTCACACATGATGATAACTTCCCCCTTCATTGTCATTTTAGCTATTTCCTCAACTAGTAGATTATCTAACTCTTCTATTTGTCCTGGGGGCCTATAAATCACACCTACATGAGTTACTGTGTGATTACCAAATTCTAACGTAACCCAAAAGGACTCTATGTTTGCCTCACTAACTTTTATTAGGCTAGATTTTATGCTATCCTTCACATACAGGGCCACCCCTCCCCCTTTCTTGCCTTCCCTGTCTTTTCTACATAAAGAGTACCCTGGTATTGCTATGTTCCAGTCATGTTTCTCATTATACCATGTCTCAGTAACAGCGACTAAATCTACATTATCAGTTGCCATTATTGCCACAAGTTCATGGATCTTATTCCCTAAACTGCGAGCATTTGTAGATATGACTCTAAGCTTGTCATTTTTAAAACACACTTGCTAAAGGCACCTTCTGTCCTTGTTTTGGGGGGCAATTGGATTGATGTTTTATCACCCTTCCCCCCCCCCTTCTAGTTTAAATACATCCTAGCAAAACCTCTGAACTGCTCACTGAGAACATTTGTTCCCTTTTGAGAAAGATGCAAACCATCTTTTTTGTACAGTTTATTTCCATTCCAAACAGAGCTACCATGAGAAGTAAAGCCAAATCCTTGCTCCCGACACCATTCACCAAGCCACAAGTTAAAGTCTTCCTGTCATTCTGAGTGTTATGCACAGGCAGAACTTCAGAGAATGACAGGGTAGAAGCAACCTGCCGTATATCATTGCAAAAACACTTAAAACTTCCTAAACCTCTGAAACCTCATTGCAATCCAAGTCATTTGTCCCTAGATGGACAAGTACATCAAATTCACCATTCCTGCTTTGCTCGCTTAACAATATTACAAATACGTCTCCTATCTCTGTGAGCAGTAGCTCCGGGAAGACATCTCACAAGACCACCATTGTCCATCTCCACACTTCTTATGATGGAATTCCCCAACAATAACTGCTTTCTATTAGGCCTCACCATAGTCTCCAAGCCTGTCTCCACAACACCACTACCCTGAGTTCCTGTGCCTGTCTCCACAAAACCACTACCCTCAGTGACTGAGCCTGTCTCCACAACACCACTACCCTCAGTGCCTGAGCCTGTCTCCATAACACCAGTACTTTCAGTGCCTGAGCCTGTCTCCCCAACACCACTACCCTCAGTGCCTGTCTCCATAACACCACTACCCTCAGTACCTGAGCCTGTCTCCATAACACCATTACACTCTCAAAGTGCAGAAAATGAATTATGTAGAGTAACAGACTGTGCAATATGCCTTTTATCCACAACTCTAAGTCTACCAGATCCTACAGTCCATCTGCCATTCCTAGTACATCTCTGTGGCAGTGACTTTGCAGCAGTTCCAGCCTGAGTTTGTTTACCAGATAATTTACAAATTTCAGACTTCAAAAATACAATCCCCTGTCGCAAAATAGAGAACTGTCTACAGATTAGACAGCATCCAAATCTCCAAAAAGTGGAACGTGAAATAAATGCATAACAACTGTTACACTGAACTAAGTCTGCCACGTCAATGAGGTGAATGATTGAAATCAATCAAATCTTAATTTTTTTTGTCCTCAGATTACCTCCAGTTTCTCTCCAGAATATCTCCAACCACACACTTAGAAGCAGCACTTAGATGAAGCAACCAAATAATGACAACAACCCTTATATAACTCCTAAAATCACCACCCACTAGGAATGTTTAACACCTGGGTAGGCCTCTGCTTATTTGCAAACAATAGCTAATTAACCAGCAATCAATAGTAAGTATTTAGCTTAATCAAATCAAATGCCTTACCAAATTACCAACAGGAAATCAAACCTTGTACACTCAGTAACATTTTCCTACAGATGAATCAGTAGAACTGTAACAGTAGAAAAGAAAACTCTTAGCAAAATCTTAGACAGTTGAAGCTTCTGTAAAACTGTCGAGAATTTATCCAACCACATACTTAGAAGCAGCACTTAGATGAAGCAACCAAGCTATATAGTGCTTTAAATATCCTATTCAAAAAGTATTTTTTTGCTTTAAATTTACACTACCTTTTTTGCAAAAAGCCTTATTTTCTTTTTCTTTCTTTCTTTTTTTATTTTATTGACAAATAGTGAAATTTACATACAAGACAAAGACAAGTGTAACAATAACAAACATATAATTTACATTGTTACAACTGTTCCAATCTTAAATATCAGATAAATCCCAAGCTAAACAGCTAAGGATCTCTTAATACAAAGGTAATTTATATCTTATAGAACTATTGTCTAGATAGAAATAGATATAAGTATGGGCTAAGGTCAGTCTGAACATCTGGAAAGAGAAATGTCCTCGTAATGAGGTTTTCTATCAAAGTCTGTCGAAATCTGAGTAAGGAAAAAATACAAAGAGATAATTCATTTATTTTCTAAGGTTCGTATCCAATTAATATATTGGTCTTGTTTATTTACAGAAGGTATAGAAGAAACTGGTAAATCTTTTTCCATTTGAAGTTGAAATAAAATTTGATTAACAAGCTGACTCGTCAAGAAAGGAAGATGCGACTTCCATTGTCTTGCTATTATTATTTTTGCTGCCAAGAAGCAGTGGTTTGCAAGGCATTTAGAAGAAGTGGAAGAAAGTTTCCAGTTTAAATGTAACAGTGCTGTATCTGGACCTTTTTTAATTGTAATATTAAATAAACATTTAAGTATTTCAAAGGACCACTCCCAAAGATTTTTAACTAAACTACAATGCCACCATATATGAACAAGTGTTCCCTCTGGGTAACCACAACGCCAGCAGTGAGGAATTTGAACTGGATACATCTTACTTAATTTATATGGAGTCAGATACCATTTATACATAACCTTATATTGACATTCAAGTAAATTCTGACAATGAATATATTTACGGGGATCTTTAAGAGATATACACCATTCCTGCTCAGTTATGTCAATCTTTAAGATATTTTTCCAGTTATCAAGTATCTTTAAGGGTTGTTGATCAAGGATGGATAGCAGGTTAGTAGCTTTTGAAATAATTTTATTGACCTTAGTATATCTAAAAATGGTTTGAATAAGAATATCAATTTTTGGTGACGTATTTAATAAAAACTTATTCAAGAAATTTTTAATTCTTAAATAAGAGAAAAATTCTTTGTTAGGGAGAAGGAGTTTGGCTTGAATATCCGCAAAAGGTAAAATTTGGTCATCATGGAGGATATCCCCAATCGTCCATTGAAATTTAGACCATTTATTTAAAGAAATATCCTCGATATTATCTTCTAAAATGATCAAATGAGATGACTTAATTATTTTATCAGAGATTTTTTTTTTGTTTTTTTATCCTCTCCCAAGCACTGATAATTTGTGACAAGATTAATGATTTACTGCATAGAAATTCTATATTTTTTTATTATTTTTAAGCCATAAATATATTTCCAATCTATCTTTTCCAACTGCCTCGGATTCAATTAGGTACCATGTGTCTGTTTTAAATGATTCAACCTGAAGTTTATATATGTGACCAATAATGTTGGCGTAATAACAATTTCTGATATTTGGATAGTTTATACCTCCGTTTTGAGGTTTCCTAGAGAGAACTTTAGAACTTATTCTAGGCCTAGTTGTTTTCCAGATAAATTTTTGAAAACTAGATTGTATCATGGTTAACCAGATATCTGGAATTTGAAGAGGAATCATCCTAAATAAATACAACCATTTGGGCATAATATAAGCGTTAATTATGTTAATCCTGCCGATCCAAGAGGATTCGGTCAGGCGCCATTCTTTTAATTTTATATTTGTATATTTTAGGAGATTCAATACATTTATTTCCATTATATCGTTAACTTGAGATGAAATT